GTTGAGAGGCAACACCTGTACATGTGTTATATGATTTAGTCTTCTGTTTTATATTCAGAGACACACGTTTTACTTGTAGTATAATGATTTCGTCTTCTAATGTTAAGCTATTTTAAGGAGTTAGTCTTTGAATATTTTAGCTTCTGCTAATAGAATGTATTATTTATTAACTGTCTCAGCCCAACTTGAGACACACTTCCATCAGGAGTTGATCCCTAACGTTTCAATTCCAGATATTCGATACTAAAGAGTTAAACTGTTACAACTACCCCTTATATCATAATGATTTAATCTTTTTATGTCTAGCTACTGTGGAGAGGCACCACCTCCTATTTGATAGACTTCAGTTTCAGCTGAGATTCTCCACATTCGAGTTAGACTTTTCATGTTTTAGTTCATGATGGGGTGCAAATCCTCCCATAATAATGAATTGATGCCTACCATTGCAGGGAGTTGTCGCACGTGGTCGACCACTCCCAGTCCTGTCTGACGTAATGCCTGTTTGTCTTAGTCGTTGCATCAGTCTGATGACAGTTGCTCGGGTGCAGCCGAAGGTTCTGGCAATGACGGTGTGGGTAGCTCCTTGTTGGCCCATTCCGACTTCTCTCGCTTTCGATTTGCCTCAAACGTGGTATATTTTTGTGCTCTTTTTACTACGGTGTGGCTCACGTGTAGGTTGTTTTATGCCGTCAGTATGGAGGTGCATTCCGTGTTACATCAGAAAAGGTTTTGGATTTTTTGCGGCGTTTAGGTGATTCGTTAACTTGTATCGCCGTTTGTTCCCGGAAAGGATGGATCTGTACGTGTGTTCCCGGAAAGGATGGGTCTGTACGTGTGTTCCCGGAAAGGATGGATCTGTACGTGTGTTCCCGGAAAGGATGGATCTGTACGTGTGTTCCAGGAAAGGATGGGTCTGTACGTGTGTTCCCGGAAAGGATGGATCTGTACGTGTGTTCCCGGAAAGGATGGATCTGTACGTGTGTTCCCGGAAAGGATGGATCTGTACGTGTGTTCCAGGAAAGGATGGGTCTGTACGTGTGTTCCCGGAAAGGATGGGTCTGTACGTGTGTTCCAGGAAAGGATGGGTCTGTACGTGTGTTCCCGGAAAGGATGGGTCTGTACGTGTGTTCCCGGAAAGGATGGATCTGTACGTGTGTTCCCGGAAAGGAAGGGTCTGTACGTGTGTTCCCGGAAAGAATGGATCTGTACGTGTGTTCCAAGAAAGGATGGGTCTGTACGTGTGTTCCCGGAAAGGATGGGTCTGTACGTGTGTTCCCGGAAATGATGGATCTGTACGTGTGTTCCCGGAAAGGATGGGTCTGTACGTGTGTTCCCGGAAATGATGGATCTGTACGTGTGTTCCAGGAAAGGATGGGTCTGTACGTGTGTTCCCGGAAATGATGGATCTGTACGTGTGTTCCAGGAAAGGATGGGTCTGTACGTGTGTTCCCGGAAAGGATGGATCTGTACGTGTGTGACATGGCTCAGTATGGTTTTATCACTTCATTTTTATTTTTGTGATTTCTTTGGTGAAAATTATGTAATATTTGGAGGTGTTGGAATGGTTATATGTCAATAATAGTAAATAATTAGGTAAAAACAAGACGTTGTATTACCTAAAGGAGGTGGTCCTGTCACTCTTGCAAACAGTTTCTCACCCTTTTTTGGCCGCAAAATTTCTGATTTACGTGGAAAACTTGGCTCATTCTGTGTTGACCTGTCCTGTAGTGAGTTTAAAGGTTGAACAGTTCAGCAACTTCCGGGAAGTAAGTCTTAACGAACTGCGCAAAATCATCAAGGACAGAAAACCAACCTGGTGTAACCTTGACTGTTGTCCAACCAAGTTACTTCTTCAAATCATTGATTACGTTCTGCCAGTTATAACCAAAATTGTCATCTGGAGTGGTTCCGGTAAGCTTCAAGATAGCTGTCATTAAGCCAACAATCAAGAAGCCTTCCCTTGATCCAGACATCTCCAGTTACATGCCAGTATCCAACTTATCTTTCCTGTCCAGTCTTGGAGAAAATTGTAAAAATCCAACTTTTGGAATATATGGAGACATTTTCCCTTGTTGATAAATATCAATATGAGTACAGGTCTAACCACATCACGTTAAGGCCCATAAGTGTGTCCTTGGCCAGATTAAGACGAGGGTTGACTCTGTGTGGCTGTAATGGTATGTTCAGACCTTTCCACCACATTTGATACGGTTGACCGCCACTATTGGTTCGCATGCACCAAGAGTATGGCGCGAGCAGGACAGCACTGTCATGGTCCACATCTTATCTGTCTGACAGAGTGCAAGCAGTCCATATTAATAATGTGCGATCCCACGATATGTCTCTGATCTGTGGAGTGCCACAGAGCTCGGTCTTAGGGCCAATATTATTTACAATGTATACGCGACCACTTGGACGTATAATCTCTCAACAGTATGTCCCATCATTTCTATGCTGATGACTCACAGCTAGTGGATCACTTTAACACAAACAAAGAAACCACAGTTGTTTCCAAGGTCGAGAGCAGCATCTCAACAATTCAACATTGAATGTCGTCGAAGATGTTGATGTTGAACGTTGACAAGACAGGAACACTCTTTATAAGACCACCTTCTAGACTGCAGAAATTTTATACCAAGCAGCCGCACATTGGTCAATCTGCGGTGGGGGCGGTTGGGTAGCCTAGTGGTTAAAGCGTTCGCTCGTCACGCCGAAGACCCGGGTTCGATTCCCCACATGGGTACATGTGAAGCCCATTTCTGGTGCCCCCCGCCGTGATATTGCTGGACTATTGCTAAAAGCGGCTTAAAACCATTCTTACTCACTCACTGAATTTGTAGTGGGTGTTTCATCATCACTCGAGAACTTGCAAGTTGGGTGTTCATATTGACTGCAATCTTTCTATGGAAACTCATGTTTCACAGTTGTGTAAATGCTGCTATTTCCATTTGAGAAACATTGGACCCATTCGCCATCTGTTGACACAAGATGCTACCGCGTGTCTCACAAGAACTTTAGTCCTCTCGCGGCTAGACATCGCTGCCCATATTATAACAAAAAGCAAACCATCCTGTCACATATCACACAAAATGGGACCTGCATATCCTCAAGATCTCATCATGCTGTACATTCCTTCCAGAACTCTCCGCTCCTGTGATCAGTTTCTTTAGTCCATGTCTACTTATAAACTCAAATCGTTTGGCGCCAAGTCCTTTCAGAGTGCAACTGCTATCCTCTGGAACTCTCTGCTTCTTGACCTAAAACTAGTACCAACTCTGCCGCTCTTAAAAAACAGACTCAAAACAAACTTCTTTCAACGCTATGTTTCATAAATCCTTGTATTTTCTTGTGCATGTGGATTGTGTCAGCGCTTTGAGCATTGCCCTTGTGTTGTGGAAGTCAGCGCTATACAAATACCTTTATTAGTATTATGTTTTACAGATTAAACTTAGTATGCAGCAGAGAGGGTTCGGGTGATCCTGGCACAGTCAGGCTGGTAAGGCTCATCATCAGTTCAGGGCCCTTGCCCCTCTACACGCAGCCCAGACAGCCAATGGGACTTCTCCCAGGAAACGCTGCCTAGTCTAACCCACCAAGAACCTTCCGGAGAATATGTAGACTCCCCAACAGGGGTCAGAAGGGCTGTGCTCCCGGTGGAGAACCCGGGCACTCTCCTGATCTTCTTGTTGTTGTTGTTGTTGTTGTTCTTCTTCTTCTTATTATTATTTATCGTTAGATAAGGACACTACCAGGAACATTGATTACCATTTTCCAGTTTCCAATTAGCACGGCAGAAGAGTCGTATGTAGACACCCTCCTTTATACAGATCAAAGCGACAAAATACTTTCCATGTGCAGGAGAAATCTCAGCGTTGAGCATGTATTCATTACTATCAAATAGTGTCATCTGTCATAAACACATGCAAAGGCAAATCAATTGCTCAACTAAAAACACGGGGACATGGTAAAATTCTAAATTAAGGATTACAGAACTTTCCTCATGTCATTTTGAGACCATGAATATTTGCTTTGTTTGTTGTTTAACACCATCCTCAGCAATATTCCAAGTACATGGCGGCTTGTAAGTACTCAGTCTGGAACAGATTGAATCCAGTGATTGACATCATGAGCATCGGTCTGCGCAATTAGTATACGATGGCATGTGTCTACCAAGTCAGCAGGCCTGATCACCCAATCTCATTAGTAGTTTCATATGACAATCATGGGTTGTAACCCGGATCTTCACGGGTAGAGGCTTTGAATATTGTAACCTTGATTGAGCAATAGCCTTTTGACGCTCTTTGAACTCTTGGTAGAAAGAGCATGCTTGATTGTACCTCATAAGCCGTGTAATGTAAATATCAAAGGCTGAACCTGCTGAAATGTTGCTGACATCAATTACAAATTGACAAAAGGACAGTTGAAGTCATTCCTCCTGTCATACAGTCTTGTGGCGAGCTAAACTACAGCTAGCAGCAAGTATGAATATCTGTGACCAAAGCACCTAGTAATGCCGTCTAAATAAGACAATATAGTGATTGATACTATGAGGAACGATCCACACTGTCAGGGTACCATGACATGCAATGAACGTAGTCACTGAGTTTGGTCACCTCATACGGTTAACATAGTTCTCCGGTTATCTCTTTTAACCGAGGAGGCACACAAGGCCCTGTCGTCTAAGGCGCCGCGATTGCTGTGCAGAGTTGCCTCCCTTAGACACGCCAAAAACTTATGATTGTGGGTTCGAATCCCGATTCTGTTTCTAGGTTTGTCATCACTATACCAAAGTGGGTAAGTTCTAGGAACTGCATTACATCGGGATTTACTCCCATCCGTAATTGTCAACCCGTTATACAACCGGAATGCTGTTCAAACCGACCTTAACCCTAACTCAGTCACTCTTAGCCAGAATCCCAACGAATGAAAATAATTATCTCCCTCTCTGATGAAAAACGACCATTAAACCAGAAGTAGCCTTTATGCAAGTTGGTGTCAGGTTTGACGTTTTATTATTTAGAGCACGTTATCATTTATTAATATTTCATCTGTCGGGTCTTTTATCAGTTATATGTAATATTGATTAAAATATCAAAACATGAATAATATTTTTTCAAGAATTTGCTCTGCTGTTGGCATCATACATTGACGTCTCTGCTCTACCAATTGTACCCTGTAGGCGAGAACTGCATCACTGCTAAACTCAGCGTCCTGACCTGTCCGTTGATTGGCCATAAAACTGTCCCGTTCTTCAAGGTCAGGGGAAAGTTAGTACAGTTAGGCGAGTACCACCACCCGACTCCTCTGTCCCGAGCACAAGTTCCACAATCCCGGTCACGCGTGCAGAACCTGGCAGGAGTGTCGTCCCCCAACATGAGACCATCCTCTGCTATATCGACAGCCGTGTAGGAGCTGTACTGGATTGGGTAACCCTCTGAGTCAGAGCCTAACCGGACGTTCCAGTAATAGATATTAGCTGGTGTGGGCTTCAGGTCTGTTTGGTTTTCATAGTATTGGAGATAGATGTGCAGGTTGTAACTGCCTTGACGTAAAACGTACCACAGCTGTTGAAGACCAAGGAAATAGTCGCATCGGACGTCCCCGAACTGGGAGCTGAAACCGGTCCAGTCCATGTTTGGCTCAAGGATGTTCCCCTCACAGACGCTGACGTCACTAAAGGGGTGGTTCCTCCTCAAGAAGTACATTTGACCCCATTCGAAGATACAGAAAGCTTCAAAGGTGTGCGGACATTTGATTGGTTGGATTGTGGACAGCCTGTTTCCAGTTTGACCAGAGTTCTTCCCCTCCTTGCAATCTAGAAACGATACGAAAGCAGTCACGTGGTCGTAGTGTACGTCATTCAACAAGGGCCCCAAGAGAAAAGATGTTGTTGAAACTACGGTTAGGTGTTGTAAGTGAGAGTATTGGAATTTCGGAAACCGTTACGCTAAATTCAGTTTGGTGAACTGGGCCCTGGATGTACATAAGTTAGGTTATACCCAGAGTTATACCCAGCAATGACAGTTAGACGGGGGTCTAGAAATGGAGCTAAGACAGAGGTATACCCAGAGATGACAGTAAGAATGGGACGAGAAATGGAATTAGGACTAGCAGGTATTTACAAGTATATGTTGGATAAGTAAAATATACTAAAATATACAGAAAGCGACCAAAAGATCAGTTCGTTACATCCGATTGTTCGTGTTCGCTATAAACGTAATCTACTGTATACACGTTACCTCGGACTATTCTCTGGCAATAGTAGCCTGCCCACCCAGGCAGACACACACAGGGTTGGGCGTAGATCCAGGTTCCCCCGTTATAACATGGACTGTGGTCCTGTAAAATACAAAATCTTTAATGTATTTCTTTTATGTTCTTGTCCATTATTTGGAATGTTACACGTGACCAAATTTTGATACTAACCATCATTGATGTCCAGGTTTGTACACAATATGCATACAAACCCTCTCAGTTTATTGGATGGATATATGATTTACTCCTAATACTTTTGCATTCAACCCGTTATGATCCGGGGCCCCGTTTCACAAAGATCTCGTAAGCGCCTCAGATCTCGTAACTTTTCTCGTAGCATTCGTACCAGTATATGAGGTACATATATGAGGTACACGAATGCTACGAGAAAATTTACGAGATCTTAGGCTTACAAGAGCTTTCTGAAACGGTGCCTGGGTTATTTGTCTTCCAACAACCCTTGCTTGTCATAAGAAGTTACTAATCAGATCGGGTGGTCAGGCACGCTGACTTGGTTAAAGCAGGTCATTGTATCCCTATTACGAAGATCGACGCTCATGATGTCAATCACTGGATTGTTTGGTGGAGACTCGATTATTTACAGATCGCCGTCATGTGGCTGGAATATTGCTGAGTGCGGCGTTTAACAACAAACAAAACTTTTCATTCAGGATGTTCTATTTTTATTGTGGACGATCTGTAAAGTCAGGACGATATGTGGGAATCTATTCATTTTCGTGAAAATTTCCGGTTCTGCATGTTGGACGTCAAGAATGAAACAGGGTTGATCAAATCCAGCTCAAACAGCGACTGAAATAACTTTTTTTCAGTTTTTAAAGAAATCGTCTACATGCTCATCTCCATGATCGCCAGCCATGTCTAAAACATATCGCCATATTACCATCATACGTCATTAGGGTACACGAGGTAGAAAGTGAGGTGATTTTCTCCGTTTTCAGATAACTCATGTTCATTTGGCCTTTCCTTTATGACACGTGAAGTTCCGGGTTAGAATTGGTCTTCAGCAACCCATGCTTGTCGTAAAAGAGGCCACTAACGGGATATGGTGGTCAGGCTTGCTGACTTGGTTGACACATGTCATCGCTTCCCAATTGCATAGATCGATGCTCATGATGTTGATCATTGGATTGTCTGGTCCAGACTGGATTAACTACAGACCGTCGCCATACAGCTGTACTATGGTGGCGTTAACCAACCAACCAACCAACAAATAAACTACTTTTTAAAGAGTATATGTTTTCTATGTTTTGTCCAGTTAGTGTATTAATGGTTTACAGGTTAGTGCGTGTTTGTGATGTTAAATTTCTTTTTGTAATGGTTTCTAAATTATCCTCTCTTTGTCATGGGGGTTTTTTTGTTCTTCCGGCTATTCTACTGCAGAATTCTATACCTGATGTGCCATGTGTGAAACCCATTTCTGGTTCTAGAAGCGGCGTAAACTTCACTCATTCACTCGGTCACTCACTCGACCACCCACCCACCTGCTCGCTCACTCACTCACTCACTGTACCTGAACATGTTTCTCCATGTATCTGCAGTCTGATTTCTGCACCAGCCCGACACATCCGCCGTTCCTGGTGTCCAAGAGCTCACATGTATTGTATCCTGGCCCTTCACAGATGTTCACAGATTGACAGTCATCTCTGTGCGCACACAAAGCTGAGCATTCTAAACCGGAACTGGTCGATATAGTAGCTATGGAGGCACTTCCTGTGACCATGCCACTGGTGCATCCTGGGTATGTGATGAATTGCTTCATGGAGACGTCTGCAGCGTTTGCAACGTGGACGGCGGCAAGAAGAATTATAGTCATCAGTACACACACCATCCTGGAATGGATGAAAAGGATCAACATGTATATCGTTATTTAAGTTTCCAACGTTTCTGTCGTTTTTTAGACATAATCAGGACATTTTCAATTTTTTCGCATTGATGACAAAATTATATCATTTACATTCACTATAATCACGCACCTTGCCACCATTTCAACGTGTACCAAGTGTGTTACATGGCACTACATACCTAGTTGGTATGATCCCCAGGCCAAGGAACTCCTGACTCCCCACAAGTGGTTAAACAAACTTAAAAAAGCCAAACAATATCATTACGTTAATAAATAGAGGTATATTTCTTTAGATATCAAATATGTGAACGGTAAAGCTTCCTCTCCTTATTCCTATCCCCACATAGGAACCCGATTTCTGGTGTCCTCAGCAGTGGTGTTGTTAAAAGCGGCGCGTCCCGTGAAGGTCCGGATTAGAATTGACCCACGCTTGTCGTAAGAGGCCACTAACGGGATCGGGTGGTCAGGCTTGCTGACTTGGTTAACACATGCCATCGTATCCCAGTTCCGTAGATCGATGCTCATGTTGTCGATCACTGGATTATCTGGTCCAAACTCGATTATATATGAATTATATCTGGTGCATATCCTGTGGATTTTGTTACAGGTGAACAGATGACTTGCCTTTGCGTGTGTTTGTGACGCGTGCCGCAGGTTTGGCATGATAAGCTCTGTTTTACAAACACTTGGTATCATTGCTGTTTGATAGCGATTCATAAACATATGTTAATGATACAATCGTAATCGTACAATGGACTCGGCTTTTAGCAGGGGGTTGTTATGATTATCAATATTGCCCATTCTTTTCACTCGATGACAATTTCTGAGGAAGTATAGGACGAAGAAATATGACAGACTTGCAACGTATGTAAACAGCTACCCGGGAAGATCCGGGTCAACATTAAACGATAAACCAATAACCAATGAAAACAGCTTGAGTGAGTGAGTTAGAATTTAACGTCACATCGGCAATATTTCAGCCATATCGTGACGAGAAATGTTTTACATAAACAATAAATTAAATTTGCTAAATAATCAGTCATCGAAGGACTGTAAAATAACTAGAATATCACAGATGGAGTCTAAAACTAGCATGAACATGTAAAACTATTTTATTTACGAAGACAATACAATATAAAAACGGAAGGGAGATCACCATACTAGGAACCATGGGGACTTATATTACTTTTGCTACCTGCATGGACCCTAGTTGGATTTACACCATCCCCTCAGCCATTGGCGACAGAAGAGAAATCTAGCCATAAATTAAAAGCACACATATTCTACGATTAAAAACGTTGCAAGCCTAAATTTACTTTGAAAGTTTTGGGGACTTACGTACCCTCTCAGGAGGACAATAATTTTACGCTACTTCAACCCCCTTTGAGGATACAGCCACTAACAATCTAAGTTGAAAATCTGAACTACCAATTATAAAACCTCATCTTTTTACGAAACATATATCAAAATTCATTTCACAAGTCTATCTCTTTTAAAAAATCATTGATTAAATAATAATTAACATTACTAAAAAGGTCCTTTACCTTTGCTTGAGAATCCAATCAGGTGATCGTGGAACGCTTTTACATTGACTATAATCCCGCACCTTGTCACCGCTTCAACGTGTTCCAAGTGGGTTACATGGCACCACATCCCTATTTAGTAGGATTGCCAGTGTGCTTTGGTTCTCATTAAACTAAAGTGTTTTATAGTACCAATTCTCAACAGATAAAAATAAAAATATCGGGAACATACCAAATAAGACACTACAGTTATGGAATTCAGCTAACACGAAAAGACAGGTCTGTCATTCCACGCCTTATTTACAGAAAGAAGACAAATAATTATCTCTCTAAGAGGAAATTGTATATGTTGTGCTTGTATTTCAGTAGTATTCCAACAGTACCAGACGTTGGTGCCTTTAGTTGTTGAGAAACTCTGGCATGCTCTTTCTACGCGGATTTTAAAAGAACGCCAGGCGATTCTTGGTCAAATATTGCTTCATCAAGGCTGCAACAGTTAATGCTAGAGCTTACGAAAGGTTTTAGGGTAGACATGTGGAGGACATTTCCAAATCTGACGATTCTCCGATCCTCATTATCTGAGGGGCTGTGGGGTAGCCTAGTGGTTAAAGCGTTCTCACGTCACGCCGAAGACCCGGGTTCGATTCCCCACATGGGTACAATGTGTGAAGCCCATTTCTGGTGTCTCCCGCCGTGATATTGCTGGAATATTGCTTAAAGCGGCGTAAAATCATACTCACTCACTCACTCACTCACCTCACTATCGGATATGTTTAATACAACTGGCACGTGTCTTACTCTCCAGCTGTGAGTGAGCCATATTTTACACCGCTTTTAGCAATATTTCAACAATATCACGGCGGGGGTCACCAGAAATGGGCTTCACACATTGTACCCATGTGCGGAATCGAACCCGGGTCTCCGGCGTGACGAGCGGACGCTTTCACCACTAGGCTATCCCACTGCCCCTATCCAGCTGAGACTGCGTTTAGCGCAGATTTCTTATTGCCTTGAAAGGTATTGTCGCTTTCAGTTTGAAAGCGAAACACTTGAATCATGTAAATACCGACTTTGTCAATCAAGGCCCTGTTTCACAAAGCTACCGTAGCTATACAACTTCCGTACCTCCTATACTGTAACGTAGACTTACGTAGCGATACGATAGCTTTGTGAAACGGGGGCCCAGCTGTACCATGGAAATATATGGTAGTGTTCATTCACCTAACCGTTGATTATAATTCTATAAACCGCAGCCGAGTTTAAGGTATGGGCACTCTTGTGTACATCAAATGAAACATACAATACTGACAGGGAAAAAAAGGACACGCTTGCAGTTTTAACTTAAATTGCAAACGTCCTGAAAACCATACGAGGTTGAAAAAAGTCGTATTCCCCTTGTCTGCTGCAGACTCGATTGTGAACAGAGCGGAATATTGCGGAGTGTAACATAACTCTCAAGTGAGTGAGTGAGTGAGAGCAGTTTTACGCTGCTTTTAGCAATAATGCAGCACACCAGAAATGGACTTCACACATTGTAACCATGTGAAAAAATCGAACCCAGGTCTTCGGCATGACGAGCAAACGCTTTAACCACTAGGCTACCCTGCCGCCATTTATAACCCTAAGGATTGACACTACTGTTATTACATGGTGTTTTATGACATAAGCTTTGTGTCAATATGATGCAAGGTACACACTTTACATTGAAAGATTCTACTTAACAAACCAATAGCAATTTCTGCAAAGTAATTACCATGACAGTACAGGATAGAGCAGCAGCACCATTACAAAGGCAGCATTAAATATACAACGACCACAATCTTTACCTAATGATTGCAAAGATTCAATATTTTTATCTTCCAATGAACCTTAACAGAAGCAAATTGTAATCAGTACAATGTTAACATTAACAATGAACTGCACCGCCATAGAACAGTTGTAATAACCTTAAAGTACTGAAGTGGATAGAGTGAAGTAATCGTAAACAGAGAGCGGTTATACACATGGTAACGTATATGATGATAGTTATTGACCAACAACCACTCTGCACGGTTTCGCCTTTGAGCCAATGCTACTTGTCGCGAATATCTATAATCCTTAATGACGTACACTAAGTCCCCCTGTACTCAGGACGGCGGCCGCTCTGCGTTCTAAATATTACCAGGACGCACAACGGTCGCCAAACCTATGTTTCTGTGTAACTGCTCTGGCGTCCCTTGTGCCTTCCTTGTACGACTTAAGCTGCCAATTTTTGACATTTTAGTGGCGTTCTTTGAGCGTCCTAGGCGTCCTCTCTGCCTTCCCTCTGCCTCCCCTCTGCCTTCTATGTACCATCATATGCAAATAACGGTGTCCGTTCAGCATTGCGGGGCGGTGGGGTAGTCTAGTGGTTAAAGCGTTGGCTCGTCACGCCGAAGATCCGGGTTCGAATCCCCACATGGGTACAACGTGTGAAGCCCATTTCTGGTGTCCCCCGCCGTGATGTTGCTGGAATATTGCTAAAAGCGGCGTAAAGCCAAACTCAGTCAGTCAGTTCAGCATTGCCTCTGCCTTCTCGCCGACCGTTGTGCCTTCCTTGTGCATGCATTGGCGTTCGCTCTGCCTTCTCTCTGCGTTCTTTGGCGACTGTTCGGCAACCGGCATACTCTAGGTATATAAGTACCTGGCTACGACAGTTTATCATTAGTTTCATACGAGCAGGCTAAGTGAAATCATCGTATAATGACTTCTGTAAGCATGAACACTGAACTGCGTTTGCAAATAGCTTGTTTGCAAGGCCAACAAGCATTGTTTTTCAACCAGATAGCCATAGCCATCATAAATAGAAGGATAAATAGACGTAGAAGAAGAGTGAGGAGTGAGTGAGTGAGTGAGTTAAGATTTAAAGTCACATCGGCAATATTTCAGCCATATCGTGACTAAAACTAGTTCTAAATTTATAATACATACATGTAATATATAAAAACTCTGCCAACGAAGGATAGTAAAACCACTAGATTATCACAGATTGAGTTAAAACTAGCTAGCATATATCTTTAAAAGTAGAAAATTATTTCTGGACAATACAATGTAAAATTGGGCTATAGATCGCCAACAACTGAAGGTAGATCACCATACTAGGACCCTAGTTGGATTTATATCACCCCTTCAGCCGCTGGCGATTGAAGTCAAATTTAGCCAAATTAAAATGACAAGAATACAACATTTAAAACAGCTGGTTATATTTAAATTTCCTTTGAATGTTTCGGGACTTACGTACCCTCTCAGGAGGACAATACTTTTACGCTACTTCAACCCCCTTTGTGGGTACAGCCACTAACAATCTCAGTTACTAATCTAAACTACCAATAAGAAAATATATATCTATTTACAAATCAGTTAACAAGTAAAATTTTTAAAAAAAGGCAATAATTAAATGAGAACTTATATTACTAAAATGATCCTTCATAGTTTGTGATTTGAA